TGGGGGAAAATAATTCAAGCTTTGAAAGGTAATAACCTCCAGCCAAGATTGATATACCCTGCACAAGTGTCCCTGGAAATTGATGGAAAAAACAAGGTGCTTCCAGGATAAAGAGGAACTAGGGGAATATGCAACCAACCAATTCAACTCTACAGAGAATACTGCAGGATATTCTAAAAAAGAAAAATACGAAGAATCCAGAAATAGTGGCAGAGAGGACACAATGAATGGAGCAGAAAACAAAATGAAGAAGACAAACTGACAACTAATGACAGAAAAAGAGCTCAACAGAAGTGAAGCAGAGAAGATCGGATGATAGGAACAGCTATTTTGGAGAAAACGACGTCATAATACATAATGCTGACTTAATATCATCTTGTTTTTTTTTATAATTTTTTTTGTCTTTTTCATTTTTATCGATACTGGGAATGAACTCATGACTGCCTGCTTGCAAGGCAGGTGCTTATGCTGCTGACCTGAACCCCCAGCCCAATATCATCTTGTTTTGAAGTCCCATCAAGCTTTTGTTCTTCTGTCTCCATAGGTCTTAACATGTTGTATCTTATTGGATTTTATTATATGTGATAGTATAAACAAAAACTTTTATAGACAAGGAGATTTTGCAGAAACCATTGTTCATTTTCTGTTAGTTGATTCTAAATACCCTGTAATACTATCATTTTCTTGAATGGTTTTACATTGTTTTGATATATTTGATGCTACAGTATACAAAGTTATACTCAAAGATTTCAAGGAAAGAGACAATATGGTAACTACTTTTATGTCAGGATTATCTTGTGGTGAAACACTATTTTGCTTAAATGGTTATGTTTTCATCTGTGCTGTTTTGTTGTTATGCCCTCTTTTATCCCAATCTCCATTTTATTGTTTACTTTTTTATTTTTGTCCTTTTAATTAAGGGAAAAATAAATAGAAAATAGCAGGATATATTATAGTAACCCACTCTGATTTTCTGTTAACTTGATTTGAAGCCCTGTATTGCTCTCACCATCTTGTTTTGACTGATGTCCTTCTATTCTGTTTTACTTGATAGTACCACGTTCGAAAGTTTAGGCAACAGCTGTGAAGATAGTGGGATTCATTATGAGGCCCATTCTGGTTGACTATTACCTCCTTTTGAAGACCTGCAATGTCTCCAATGTTTTGGTTTTGTTGGTTTCATTCTTTACTGTTTTGTTCATCAGTTATAATTTTATTATAACTGATGATATAGGCAATTCTTTTTGAGATAGTGGGAGGCATTGTGGTAACCATTATCGATCACCTTGTATTATGTTTTTACATTATCTATTATGTCCACCCTTTTGATTTGACTGATTCTGTTCTATTATATCACATTGGGTTTTACTCTCTTCAAAAAAAAAGTAATAAGCACTGTGGGAGTAATAAAACTCAAAATGTGTAATAGTCACTGTACAAAAGAGAGGAAAAGAAAGTGCTCTAAATGATATAACTGCATGTATATTTAAGTGTATAAGGTAGACAATGATATTACTGAGTTTTGTTGGATCATTGAACAGAACTGTTTGCAGTCTCACTGTTTGAATGTCCACTTTATATGTTTTAATTTTGTAACTTGAACAACTATTTCTAAGATGACAATATGTACTCCATTAACTAGTGATTTCCTACTGTTTATTTTTTTTCTGAAATTCTGTATAAAATGTACCCTTTTCCTGCTTTTTTCCCCTTTTTCTCCTTAAATAAAATTAAAAAAAAAAAAGAAATACAGGCCAGTCTCCCTAATGAACACAGATGCAAAATCTTCAATAAAATGTTGGCAAATAGGATGCAGCAAATCATCAAGAAGATTATACACCATGACCAACTGGGATTGATCACAGGCATGCAGGGATGGTACAACACACGTAAACCAATAAATGTAATCCACTATATCAATAAAACCAAAAGTATGAATCACATGATCATTTCTACAGATGCAGAAAAAGCTTGTGATAAGGTCCAAAATTCATTTATGATAAGAACCTTACAGTAAATTGGAATAGATGGTTTTTATCTCAATATGATAAAGGCCATCTATGACAAACCAACAGCCACTATCATACTAAATGATCAAAAACTGAAGGCATTTTCCTTAAAATCAGGCACAAGACAAGGTATCTCTTATCACCACTCCTATTTAATATAGTACTGGAAATACTAGCCAGAGCAATTAGACAAGAGAGAGAAATAAAATGGCAGAAGATGGGAAAAAAGGAAGTTAAAGTATCATTATTTGCACATAACATGATACGGTACATAGAAAACCCCAAAACTGCATTGAAAGACTCCTAGATATAATACATAAATTCAGCAGTGTAAGTGGATACAAAATCAATACTGAAAAATCAATCGCATTTCTGTACAATAACATCTAAATCACAGAGAGAGAAATAAGAGAAGCCACATTCTTCAGACTAGTAAGCAAAAAAAAAAAAAAGAAATATTTAAGAATTAATCTACTGAAAGAACTGAAAGATCTATATGGGGAAAATTATAATCCATTGAAAAAAGAAATTGAAGATAATCTCAGAAAATAGAAAAATACCCCTTACTCACGGATAGGAAGAATAAATATTTTGAAAATGGGCATTCTCCCAAAACTGTTATACAGATTTAATGCAATCCCAATAAAAATACCAACAACACACCTCATAGAACTCAAGAAATCACTCCTAAAATTCATCTGGAGCGAGAAGAGAACCAGAATAGCAAGGACGGTTCTAAGCAGCAAAGGCAAGGCAGGAGGCATCACAATTCCTGAGCTGAAGTTATACTACAAGCAACAGTAGTAAAATCAACATGGTACTGGAATCAAAACAGAGTCCAAAATGAATGGAATAGATTAGAAGATACGGCCACAACTACAAACACACTCAACCCCCTTAATTTTTGATAAAGGTGCCAAACATGTTCACTGGAAGAATGACAATGTCTTTAATAAATGGTGTTGGAAAAACTGGCTCTCCATATGCCGAAAACTAACACTAGAACCATGTGTATCACCATGTACTAATTAAAATCTAAATGGATCAAAGATCTGAATATTAAAACAGAACACGAAATCTATTCGGAGACAGATTCGGTAAACCTTGCAGACATAGGAGTAGGTAGCAAATTCATGAACAGGAATCAAACCACATGGGAAATACTCCCCCGAATCAATAACTGGGATTACATCTTATTATAAAGTTTTTGCATGTCAAAAGGAATCTCCAGCATAGTAAAAGAAAACCCACAAACTGGGAAAAAATCTTAGTGAACTGTTCCTCTGCCAAAGGACTTTTGTCTAAAACATACAAAGAATTAAAAAAAATCAGATCCCCAAAATCAAAGATCCAATCCAAAAATGGTTTCTGAGATGAATACATAGTTCTCAAATGAAGAAATACAAATGGTAAGTAAATACATGACAAAATATTTGTCATCATTAGTCATTAGAGAAATGCAAATTTAAAACACACTGAGATTCCATCTCACTCCAGAAAGAATGGCCAGAATCAAGAAAACAACCAACAACAAGTGCTGGAGAGGCTGTGGGAAAAAAGGAACTCTCCTGCACTGTTAGTGGGCATGTAGACTGGTGCAATCATTGTGGAGTTCAGTTTGGAGATTCCTCACAAAGCTGAGAATGGAAGTCCCATTTGTTTCAGCTATTCCACTTCTAGGCGTATTGCCAGAAGAACTGAAAACATCATATCACAGTGATATATGTGCACCCATGTTTATAGCAGCACAATTTGTTATAGCCAGATCTTGGTTCAACCTAAGTGTCCATTAACTGAGGAATGGACAAAAAAGTTGTGGTATTTTTATACAATGGAGTATTACTCAGCTATAAAGAATTATCACTTTGAGATATTTATAAATAAATGGATACAACTTAAGACCATACTCATAAGGGAAATCAATCAAACCCACTTGTATAAATACCAAATAGTTTTCCTAGTGTAAGAAATGATAAGAATACATAAAAGTATGCCATAATCGTGATTCCCCATTATATTGCTTTGAAGCCTTCTATTGTCTGCATTCATTAGTTGGAATGGTTTTATTCTGGGTTGTTTGATTTTATTTTCTGTGATGGTATGAACAGCTATTTTGAAGAAAAAAAGACATTATAATAGCAACTGATGATTTAATATCATCTTGTTTTGAAGACCCCCTCCCCTAAGCTTTTGTTCTTCTGTCTCCATGGGTTTATCGTGTTGTATCTTATTGGATTTTATTAGTTGTGATAGTATAACCAAATTTTTTATGGACAAGAAGATAACATAGTAACCACTGTTCGTTTTCTGTTAGTTGGTTCTGAATACCCTGTAATTCTTTCATTCTCTTGAATGGTGTTACACTGTCTTGTTATGTTTGATACTATAGTGTATGAAGGTATACTCAAATATTTCTAGAAAAGAGATACTATGGTAGCTAGTGTTATGTCAGGTTGACTTGTGGTGAAATACTATGTTGCTTAAATTATTCTGTTCTGACCTGTTTTGTTATGTCCTCTTTTATTTTAATGTTTTTTTAAAAAGAAAGAAAAAAAAAGAAAATGTATAGACAGAGAGGGGTGAATTTTTTGGCAATGATTTCCAACAGCAGACCCCCTTTATTCCATTTTGTTTTGAGCTGGCCTGGACTCATGAGAGTTTCTAACATTAAATCTGCCCTTGGACCGAGAGATCGTGGAACTTTTCCAGCACACTTGTGACCTACTTTCAGGAAGAGTCTACTGAATTCACTTAGAAAACTAGGGCAGTCTGAAGGGCCCAGGAGTAAAGCCCTTAAAAAATACAAGTCTTTTTCATGCGAGGTGAGACTGACAGGATGGAAGAGAGATTGGTCCAGTAGTTCCTGGAGCTGTAAGCCTGCAGAAAGAGAAATGTTTCGCTTCTTGTACAGGGCTCAATGGGCCGGTAACGGAACAGGAGCCAATGAGCGACGAAGGCGGGAGCCGTTTCTGAACTATCCAATCAGGTGGACCGAGGAGGACGGTACTTCCGGGATCATGGCGCCAATGTTCACAGGTCCTGTCAGTTGCTGAGAGCCCCGAGTCAAATGGGCTACCTTTTTGTGTGATTTCTGCTTACTGCGGGCTGCATTCAAAGAACCCTCGGAGACCCTCAAGCCATGCAATGGTGACGTTACGGGAAGGGGGCTGGGAATGGGATGGAACTGTGTGGGTCTTGGAAGAAAGTGGCTAGAAAACGCTATGGCAGTTTACTCCCTGCTTAGCTCCAGACTCTGAGTTCTTCCTAAGTCTTTGGCCCGGCGTTAGCATTTCTCACTTTTTCCCTTGGTAAAGAGGGGTGTGTTCTAGTTTCTCAGCGTACAGTCTCCACCGTGGCACTGCCAGCCCTCAACGCCTTCATGGTGGCCTCAGGCACAGCTGGGTCTCCACTAGTCTGAGCAAAGCGGAGGTTTTGCGGGTGGGAGGGCGAACCCCGGGTTCCAAACTCAGTAATGAAAAGATTGTCACTTGAATCATTCACCTGATACCTCTATTGAGATAACTCGGACCCCGGAATAAAATCCAAGGAAGCAAGGAATTAAGAAATTTGGAGCAAAGGTTTTTATTTCAGGCTTGGCGACGCAGCCTCTTAGGATCGACCCAGAGACTGTGTGCGCGCCTCACAGACTAAAGAAAGGGATTTTTAAGGCAAGAAAAACAAAAAACAAAAACTGCAGAGCTGTTAAGCTGTTGACTTAGTCCTGACAGGATCTGGAAACTGTAAAGCTGTGGACTTAGTTCTGATGACATCTGGAGCTTTTGGTGCATTTCGTTACTCCCACCCTCCGGATAAACATTATCTAGGAATAGCACACCTGCAGTAACATTGGGAGCAGAAAGTAGTTAATTATCTGGGAACAGCTCGTTGGCAATAACATGTGGAAGGGGGAGGAAGTTAATTATCTCGGGACAGCTCCTTAGCACTAACATGTGGAAAGGGATAGAAAGTTACAAGAAGCTGAAACTTAAGTTTTTACAAGGATTAGAAACTTAACCCTATCTGTGCATGCAGAACAAGAAGAGGCGCATTGGTTAGAGTTAAGCCATAACACTATTTGCAATGATGTTACCCCATGAACAAAGCTCGTAATCTCACAACTTTGAGTATGAGGTGTCGACTAGAAGAAGGAAATTAGGAGAGATTATGTTGGAAATAAAGAATCAGGATGGCTCCTGAGTGCTGGGAGACATTCCAAGGGGGTGGCTGTGCCGTGCGCAACACAGTGCTAATTATGAACAAGCAGAGCACAGTAATTACTCAGTTCAGTGAGTACCTGCTACACACAGCTCTTGGAGTTAAGACCACTTTTTTTCTTTAAAGATAAGCTAGTTCTGTATCCCAGGCTGGGCTGGAATTCTTGGCAATCTTCCTTCTTCAGCCTGGACTGCTGGAATGACCGGCCTGAGTTACTATGCGTGGCCAAAACAGCCACTTGGAACTCAGCCTCTCTGACCATTTCTTCAGCGTGCAGGGTTTAAAGCAAATGAGTTTAGAGGAAAACTGGGCATTTTGTATTTTAAATTCCTGGAAAGGCAGTTTAATAGGGAGTGACTGCAATTTCTTTCGGTAGAGAGGAGTCCACATTCTTTGTAGGAGAGAAAGTTCACTCTTGGTTCAGAGTCCAAGGTACTTGTCTATTCTCATTTTAATTCTCACCAAATTACTAATTTCCCAACTCTAACCTAGGCCCTTTCCCTACCTAGCTGCCTTATTTTTAAGCTAGCTAAGTAAACTTTTTTACAGTTGAGCCATTAAACTGAAGCTTGCCGTGGAGTTCAGAATGCTGAGGAAGATGCAAGGAATAAGAATGTATTAGCAAGGGACAGAGAAGAATAAGAATAATAAGAATATAATAAGAATGTATTAGCAGGACAAGTGTTCCTGCTAGTCACCCCTCCGGGGACTGCCTATTAAACCCACACTGAAACACAGAATAGAATCCTTTTTTGTCAGGCACCTGAGTTAGAAGCTCCCAGTGTGTGTTGCTGAGTGACTCCCAAGCAGACTCAAGCTGACTTGCTCTATGGGTTCTGCTGACTCACTGCATGAGAAGGACCTGGGAGCCTTTGATCCCCAAAATGTGATTGTGCAGGACCAAAGAGTAAAGACGCCTCCTTCTGGTAGGAGGTAGACAGAACCAGCTTTGGCAGGATTCAGGATTCCTTGCTGCAGTTGAGAAATTTTCCTTCTTGTATGTCAACTGTTCTGGTGTACATTGGGTTCTTTCTGTCCCACCAAGTGGGCTGAGACTTCTGCTAGGACCTCAGCTTCTTGTCTTGTATAATGGAGGTGATTCTACTGTGAGCAGAACTCCACATTTCCAGCCCAATGTCTGGAGCCCCACAGAGTGTTAAAGTTGGTTTTTGAGGGCCTTGTCCCTTAGTAGATTTGTTCACTGATATGCTCAGTATCTGAATCTGCTGGTACGAGGTGGAGTTTGCTGAAGATTACTAGGGCCATGTCTGTAACTACATCTACCTTTCCCTCTTCTCTGGCTGCTGTGGGTTGAGAGCCTGTTACTCTGTCTTGCCACTTTGCCATCCAGTTTCTACCTTGGAACCAGTAGAATATAACCTGAAACTGAGTCACCATAAGATGAGATTGTTGCATATAGTGTCCCAGTGACTGCAAGTGACTCAGACATCTAATTATGCTATATTTGTTAAAAGTTTTAAGTATGAGATCTTAAACATGTAAGTTGTATCTTCCACTCTTAAGATTGTGATGATGGTAAATTCCAAAATTAATAAACACTTCTCCACAATTCCACAGTCATTTTAGTTATGGTGCTTAAAGTCCCATACAGTTTTAAAGAAACATTTTAGACTTTGCCTAGGATGAAAATTGGTGTATGGTTACTGTCTTGGTTACTTTTCTCTGGTTGCTAGGACAAAACACCCAACACCCAAAATGAAGAAAGGAAAAGTTTGTTTAGCTCACTGTTTGTGGAGGTTTCAGTCCCTAATTGGCTGGCTCCAAGGCAGGGTTGCATGGTATTGGGGCAACACTTAAAGGCAACAACCAGAGCAAAAAGAAAACAAGCCTCTTCTCTTCCCTTATATTGTACACAGGCCATGGCTGTCCCTTCAGGACAGATGTAACACTCACAAAATCTCTGTGCCTTCCTCTTGCTCAGGATGAGGATATTTACAAAGGATCCTGGCTCCCTGCTGAGTCTCTCAGTTAAACTTCTAAACTTCTCAAGCTGACACAATGTAGCAACCACAACAGTCACTTGCCAAGCATGTATAATAATCCTGTTTTATATCCAGAATCATGCAATAAATGAGTAAACTAATACATAAATAGGTTTGGTAGCTTATAATGCCAAAAATTAAATGATACTGTGTTATGATATGTGTCTAGATATCCCCTCAAAGCCTCATGCAGTTTTGGGAGACAGGCTTTTTCCAGAGGCAGCTGAGTCCAGAGTTTCATAATGCTATGCTGGGATTAGGGGTGTTAGGGTTAAGCCTGAGTGATTTCTGGATCAGTCCACAAATTGGATTAGCACTGCTCTAACCCCCAGCAGTCTGGATAAGATAACAAGGGCAGAAAGAGGCATGTTTCTCCCTTTTTGCTCTTGTTACTTTTGCTCTCTTCTGCCACAATGAATGCTTGCCCCTCTGCCACACCACCCTGCTTTGGAGCCAGCTGATTAGAGAGTGAAACCTCTACAAACTGAGAGCTGTATTAACCTTTCCTCCTTTCACTTTAGGAGTCGGGTATTTTGTATTTTGTCTGAGCAACAAGAGAAAAATAATTAATACAATATGTTACTCATTTAAATAAGAAAAGATGGGATGGTGGTGTAAAGGACATCTTCCAGATGGGTCTTCCTGTTAAACCCACACTTTTGATCTCCTTGAAGTAGGGCACTCACCTGTACATGCAGTACTATAGATGAATGCAGAGAGAAAAACACCATTGCTCACATAATTCAAAGTTATTAGACACTGTTGAAAACAGAGCTTGCTGAATGAGGTAGGACTTTGAAAACAGTAGTGCATGGGGGGAAATTGCAAGTGTAGGTCTGCATGCATAGCAGTGGATGCACAAAAAGGTTTTCTGTGTAGGAAAAAGCAAGGAGGAGTGGACACAACATGGGAAAGTGGGGGATGATGGAAGGCAGCCAGAGCAGCCCCTGCACCAGTGGTTTCCTCTGAGGATGTTTTTAGTGTGACATTCATTAAATAGTTGTTATTCTCTGGCTCAATTGTAAGCAGGTCTAAGATTATACACTTTAAATAAAGAAATTTAGGAAAAGTTATATAATGATGTCTTCTGTTTTTTTTTAAATTTTATTTAAGCAGGAAAAAAAAACAGAAAAAGGGTACAAGTTATACAGACTTTCAGAAAAAATAAACAGTAGGAAATCACTAGTTAATTACATATTGTCATCTTAGAAATAGTTGTTGAAGTTACAAAATTAAAGTGTATAGAGGGGACTTTCAAACAGTGAGACTGTAAAAAACAGTTTTGTTCAGTGATCCAACAAAACTCAGTAATATGGTTATCTATCTTATACACTTAAATATATATGCAGTTATATCTTTTAGAGAACTTTGTTTTCCTTTCTTTTGTACAATGACAATTACACATTTTGGGTTTTATTACTCCCATAGTTCTTATTACTTTTTTTTTTTTTGAAGAAAGTAAAACCAAATGTGACATACCAGGACAGAGTCAGTCAAATCAAAAGGATGGACATAATACATAATGTAAAAACAAAATACAAGGTGATCAACAATGGTTACCATACTGCCTCTTGCTATCTTAAGAAGAATTGCCTAAATCATCAGTTATAATAAAATTGAACAAAACAGTAAAGAATAAGACCAATAAAACCAGAACATTGGAGACATTAGAGGACTTCAAAAGAAGATAATAGTCAACCAGAGTGGGCATCACAATGAATCTTATTGTCTTCATAGTTGTTGCCTATACTTTCAAACTTGGTACTATCAAGCATAACAGAATAGAGGAAAATCAGTCAAAACAAGATGGTGAGAGGAATACTGAGTTTCAAATCAAGTTAATAGGAAATCAAAGTGGGTTACTATAATATATCCTGCTATTTTTTAATTTATTTTTCCCTTAATTAAAAGTATAAAAATGAAAAAGTAGATAATAAAAAGGAGATTGAGATAAAAAAGAGGGCATAACGACAAAAGAGCACAGGTCAAAACATAGCCATTTAAGCAAAATAATGTTTCACCATATAATTTCACAATATAATCTGGACCTAATAGTAGTTACCATAGTGTCTCTTCCCTTAAAATCTTTGGGTATAACTTCGTATACTGTAGCATCAAACATATCAAGACAATGTAAAACCGTTCAAGAGAATGACAGTATTACAGGGTATTTAGGATCAACTAACAGAAAATGAACAATGGTTTTTGTATAATCTCCTTGTCTATAAAAGTTTTTGTTTATTTTATCACATATAATAAAATCCAATAAGATACAACACGTTAAAACCGATGGAGACAGAAGAACAAAAGCTTGATGGGACTTCAAAACAAGGGGATATTAAATCAGCACTACCTATTATGATGTCTTGTTTTCTCCAAAATGGCTGCTCCTACCATCTAACCTTTTCTGCCTCATTTCTGTTGAGCTTTTTTTCTGTCATTAGTTGTCAGTTTGTCCTCTTAGTTTCACTTTCTTCTCCATTCATTGTGGCCACTCTGCCACTGTTTCTGGAATCTTGATATTTTTCATTTTTAGAATATCCTGCAGTAATCTCTGTAGAGTTGAATTGGTGGTTGCAAATTCCCCTAGTTCCTCTTTATCCTGCAAACACCTTGTTTTTGCATCAATTTCTAGGGACAGTGTGCAGGATATATCAATCTTGGCTGGAGGTTATTATCTTTCAAAGCTTGAATTATTTCCCCCCATGCTCTTTGTGATTTGATGGTTTGTGCCGAGAAGTCTGCTGTAATTCTGATGGGTGTTCCCTTGTAAGTGGTCTGTTTTTTGTCTTTGACGGCTTTTAATATTCTGTTCTTATATTGGATTTCTGAAATTTTGATTATTATATGCCTGGGTGTAGCTCTGTTTGGGTTGTAAGTGGCTGGGGTCCTGTATGCCTCATACATCTGAGTATCTTTACCTTTTGCTAAATTAGGGAAATTCTCCTGGATTATTTCTGTGAATAGCTTTTGTAGTTCATTTGTTTGAGTCCTTACTTCTTTTATGTTCTTAATTCTTAAGTTATAGATCCTCTTATCATCTTCCAGTCTTTGTATTATTGCTGTTTGTTTTCTTGTTATTTTTAAGAAGTTTTTCATTTCATGCTCCCACCTTACAAATCTGTCCTCCAGTTCTGATAATCTATCCTTAGTTCCTTTCAAGATGTTATGCCAGCTTTCAATAGAGTTTTTAGTTTCCTGGTAATCTCTTTGAACCTGCTTCACGTATTCTCTGTTTTCTCTATTTTCTCCATCAAACAATTCTCCCCTTTTTTTCTGTTCTTCCATTTCACCATCTGTTTTTTTTTTTTGGCGGTGCTTAGTGTTTCTCTAACTATTCTACTTATTTCTTGCTTTATTTCATTAAATACTTCATTTTTGAACTCGTCTATGAGGCTCCGGAGATACCGCTTTATGTCTATAGGTGCCGTGTTTGATATTGCGTGTTTTCTCTCTTCATTCTCTTTTGCATTTACCTTTCCTGGATCAGTGTTCTCAGGATTTGGGACTGAGGACCCTTTCTTGTTGCTCCCTTTTCTCATACTTTTTGTTCCTTCCATACAAGCGTATGTAGGAGGCCCAGTTTTTTTTTTTTTTTCTCTTTGTCTGTTACAGTTTGTTTGAATCTGCCAGCTAGGTGTTCCCGCCCACTGCAGTGTACTAGGGAGACACAGACCTGGGCAGCCTCTGCTGGGCCCACTCCTCCAGGTCAACCTACTGAAGGCTTCACTGCTAGGGTGCACCGCCAGGCACAGGGACCTGATTTGGGCTAGCCTACTGGATCTTAGTCCGCGGCGTCACCAGGCCAACCGCTCCCCACCACTCCTGCTTGAGAGGGGAATATGTGACTAAAGTCACTGCAGGGCCCTTTTCCAGCTAGTCTGCTTATTCCCAGAATGTCCTCTGTTGGAGCCTCCTACTCTATGAAAGGGTCCCCATTTCTCTCACTCACCGCAGGTCGATGCAGGGCTCCCTGCCAGTCCTGCTCTCAACGCTGTTTGGTTCACCGATTCCAGCTCTCAGAGCTTTCGCGCGTCTTTCTCCCTGTTGTGCAGATTGGGACGCAGTATCGGCAGCAGGAAATTCAAATTGCGGCTTCCAATGGCGCGGGATCCAGCTTCCGCACTGAGATTTTATCTGTTCCTGTTATAGCATCAGGATTGCATTTCCAGTTGGTTTCTCTCAGCTTAGTTCATTCCTGGGTCGGCAGGGTACATCTCCCCTCATGTAGGACTCCTCACATGGCACCGCTCTTGGATTCTAAATTGGTAATCTCAGAGAGCCTTTGTGGCTGCTGTTATTTGTCCGCCATGTTCTCCCAGAAGTCATGATGTCTTCTGTTACTGCGAAGTTCATCTGATCATTTTTGAGATAAAGTGGAACATTTTGTCTTTCTGTTGTACACTGAAAAACTGGTTGGAAAAAAGAGGCTGGTGATGCACAGGTCTCTGTTCTGCAGCTGAGCTTTACCTCCTGCCACCTAGTGGTGAATTATGTCTCATCTTTTCATGTTTGAAGGCAAGCAGATGGAGATTAATTTGTACCTTCTTATTGGAAATACACTGGTTAAATATTTTATAATAAAATCATTCTCAAAATTTTTGGTGAAATTTAATGATAACTACGAAAATATCTTGAGTGTGTTTAGAATGTTTGTTCGCTGGGCCTTGGGCAATGGATAAGAGTGTCCAGGTGATAAATACCCTACGTGTTGCAAGTTGTTTTTGCTAATTGATGACTACTCTCCTCCTGTGGCAACTTTTCCAAAGTTTGCCATGTATGATTTCCCATGAAGAGTATCTTTTTAACTTTCTTCTTTCAAGTTTTTAGTAAATATTACAGAAATCTTGTGAGGGATTTCTTTCTTTCTTTATGTATCACTATTTTTCACAAGTGCTGATATGTGAATCTGGGGCAAGGTCCTTTTTTTAGCATGCTATTGGCCATGTAGTTCCTGAGTTTCAATTTTACTGGAAAAGATACACATCTATCCCCAAGAATAATAACTCAGTATATTCTCTAGACACTGGAAATGAGACACTGGCTTTTGGTGAGCCAAAGTAAAGGAGGTGAGTGTTGAGTATAGTGGCTGGTTTTCTGTTCTTGAGTAAATCTACTTGTTCTTCCATACTTTGATTTTCTTCAGTGATTTTTCTCTAGTTAGATTTGGATCTTATTTTCTATCCAGTGTTTCTCTTGAGTCAGACTTCTGGCTACAATTTTTAACAGATCAAAGGTGTAAATTATAAGTCACACAATACTACTTTTGTTTTCCTTTTTATGGGGGTATACTTTGAGCCAGGGTCTCACTGTTTAATCTTAATTGCCTTGAATTTATGACATAGCCAGGTTGGACACTGAACTCATGGCAATTCTCAAATTCATGGGAACCCTACACCAGCCTCTGAAGGCTTGGATAACTGCCACACACCATCACACTGGGTTCAAGTTTTCTTAGTGACCAGGTACTTTGTGATATTGTAGTTTTCATTGCGTTGATTGTATTTCATTCATATTCTTACCCTCATTACCCTTCCTTAACACCATCCTAGTATTTTTTTATATCACAGTGCAGGGTCATTGTACAGTGTCAGTGAGCTAGAAGATAATAAATATGCCACACTTCCCCTATTTTCATTCTCCATAAATTTGTTCCAATAAAACTGTTCCCATTAGCATTTTAATAATTAACTCATAAATTTTGTTTAATACTCCATTAAGTTTTTTTCTATGAGACCAGATTCAAGTGTCAAAATGCTGCCTAAGTATAAAGAAAGACAGACTCAATGCTATGAATAACCAGATTTGAAAAGAGATATAATGTGTGATTGTCAGAACTGTTCATTAGATATTTGTCTGTCTTTGTTTTGTGGATGGTGAATTACAGCTTCCGTCCAAGAGTTCTGCTTTAGAGGCAGGGCACAAATGCCCTGTGGGTAATCCTGCAGGACAACCAGGGCTACTATTCTGCTGTTGTTCTAGCATTGGGTTCCATTCTAACATCAGAATTACCATGTGAAAATATTTGCATATACATGAGTTTGATCACCAGAATATGCAATTAATATTTGAATAAATCTATCTCAGTGCAGCTTTTTGTGAGAGGAATTGGAACGTCTCAGGGAATGAGTCTGAACTTTCAGGACACGTGTCATTATTTAGGAGGCAGTGACCTTTGAGGATGTAGCTGTGAACTTCACCACAACGGAGTGGTCTTTGCTGAGTCCATCCCAAAAGAAGCTCTACAGAGATGTGATGTGGGAAACATTTATGAATGTGACTGCTATCGGTAAGGATACCCTTCTCTTACTTATGCAAGCACAGAATAATGGTTCTTGCTCCCTGATGAAGTTTAACTAAAGAGAATGTTAGAACATTTTGAAGAATATCTCAGGCCTGGTTATGGTATACCAGGTATCTAACTGGAATCAATTAATTTTCACTTAATGATATAGTGACATTTTGTATTTCCATATCTACAACTCAGGAAGAACATGGAATAACCAGAAAATCGCAGAAGAGTACAAAAGTTGCTTAAGAAATCTAAGGTAAAGTGCACTCACAAGAAAAAGGACTATTCTTCAGGAGTCGGTATGTGAACAGAAATATTACAACCACTAGAGCTGAAGAAATGAGGTCATGTTCAAATTTATTGCTTTTAAAATTACTTATTTATTTATTTTTGAGATAATGTCTTGCTATATAGTTTAGGCTGGGCTTGAATTCACCATATGGTCCAGGCTAGCTTTGAACTGGCAGCAACCCTCCTGCCTCAGCTTCCCAAGTGTTTGAATGACAGGTGTGCACCGCCTGCTGGAAGGCTCCAATTTATTTCATCCCACAAAATTTTCAGAGATGCATACAGGTTGATTTTCTATAATATGATAAATATAAAAATATTCCAATACAAGAAACTGAGGTAGTACTGATACAATTATACAACAAGTGATACTATCTGCTATGTCAGTATAAATTGTTTCATGGTCAACATGTGGAAATGTATGAAACTGCATTTAAATGTTGTGTATAGGTAAATAAGAAAAGAGTAAAGTTTGAATTTTGGTAGTAACTCACCTTTAAAATACTTATGTATATATGTAGGGCTGGGGATTTAGCTCAGTGGTGTAAGCGCCTGCATTGCAAGCAGGCAGCCATGAGTTCGATCCCCGGTACCGATAAAAACAAAAAAGACAAAAAAAAAAATTATGTATATATGTAAATAGGTAACATTCATTATCTAGAAAACTGCTAATATGGAAGTATCATTCAAAGTGCAATTGAATACTAGTGTTGACATTATGGATGTTTTCAAAACGTCCCCCAGAAAATTGAACTCCTTGTGGGTTTTTTTTGGTAGGGTAGGGGTGGAATGGGTGGATACCAGGACTGGAACTCAAGACCTTGTGCTTACTAGGCAGGCACTGTGCTGCTGAGCTGTACCCCCGCTCAAGCTGCATGTATGTTAAACTACTTAGAAAGCACTCTCATATATTGTTGGTGGCAATGTAGAATAGCACTGTAATGATAATCAACGTATAGATGTCTCAAAAAGTAAAAACAGAAGTTTCCATTTGATCCTGGTGAAACTCTTGGGTAAAGTCTGAAAAGAGTTAAAATCAGCAAATTTTGGTAATTCTTGCGTTACAAACAGGGCATGCATGGACATGCACAATAGCTAAACTCTGGAAAGAGCCTGTGTGCCCATCACTGGGTGCCGGGATAAAGACAAGGTGTGATTGCTCAGTGTGGTGCAGACTCGTAATCCCAGCACTCTGGGAACCCGAATCCACAGGACGGCAACTTGAAGTTCAAGCCAAGTTTTTCTGGTTTATTTATACATAATGATCACACTCATTAGAGGGAATTTGTGCCTGTACATGTTCTGATTTTCTTTCTTTTTTTTGTCGTTTTTTGAGACAGGATCTCTATGCAGTTTGGGCAGGCCTTGAGATCACTTTGTAGCCCAGGCTGGTCTCGAACTCGCAACAATCCTCCTTCCTCAGCCTCCCAAGTGCTGGGATCGTGAGCCACCACGCCCAGCAGTTCTGATTTTCTTTGGGGTTTTTATCACAGATGGGTGTTAGACTTTGTCAAATGCTTTTTCTGCATTTTTTGAGATGATCATGTGATTTTTGTCCTTGGCTCTGTTGATATGGTGTGTTATATTTATTGATTTGCAAATGTTAAACTGTTCCTGCGTCCTGTGATGAGTCCTACTTGGTCATGGTATATTATAGTCTTGATGATTTGCTGCATTCTGTTTGCTAGTATAATAATGAGGGTCTTTGGATCTCTGTTTTTTAGGAAGATTGGCCTGTTGTTCTCTCTGTTAGCTTTGTCTTTCCCTGGTTTTGGTATCAGTGTAATACTTGCTCCCAGGAATGAGTTAGGCAGTATTGCTTCCTGTTCAATTTTATTAAAGTGTTTGGGGCATAGTGCATTAGATCCTAATTTTTTTTTTGTAAAACTCACCTGTGTATGTATCAGGCCCTGTTCTTTTCCTTATTGGTATTTTTTTAAATTATACTTTTAATTTATTGAGGGATATTGGATTATTTAGAACTTTTGTATCTTTTTGATTCAGCTTTGGTAGTTTATATGCATTTAGGAATCAGTTCATTTCATCTGTGTTTTCCATGTATTAGGGTAAAGGTTCTTGAAACAGCTATTTATGACCTTCTAGATTTCTGCGGGATCTGTTGTAATTTCACCGTTTTCATTCATTATTTTGTGAATTTTGAGTCTTTTCTTTCCTCTTTTTGATAGTTTTGACTATAGAGTTTGTCAATTTTATTTAATCTTTCAGAGTACCAAGTCTTTGATTTATTGATTCTTTGTATTGTTTTCTTAGTCTCAATTACATTTATTTTGATGTTGTTTTTACTGATTTTTCTCTCATACTGTTTTTTCTCTTATGGGCTTGGCATGTTTTTGTTTTTCTAGGATTTTGAAATTCAACATTAGGTTGTTTATTTGAGTGTCATCTGTGTTCTTGATATGAGTATTAACCACTATAAATTTCACTCTTAGGACTGCTTTCTTATTTTATTATTTAAAATTTATTATTTTTTTATTTTCAAGATGGAAAATTCCACAATCAAGACAGAACAAAGCTAATCAAGACACTGAGGGAAAATTGGTACAGAACTTCAGAGCAGGATACCGGGAAAACAATAATAGCTACTATAGTATATCTTGTTATTTTCACAATAGTTGTCCATTCCATCAAGTATAGCAAAATCAAACAAAAACAAAACAATAAAACCAATCAAAACAGAATATTGAATAAAGTAAAACAATCTGAACAAAGCAAAACAGTGAAAACAGTATTGGACTTCAAAGACAAGATAGAAAGAAATCTCCCATATTTGTTATATTGCATACTATTATCCTCCAGAGAGATGCTCAGATTACCAGCCCAGGCCTGTGAAATCAACCAAGGAATTGAAGCATTTAGTTGCTTTATGTACTTTAGTTGCTATCAACTCAGGCTGTTCTATGAACCATCTGGTTGTTAATGGGGGTCGGGAGGGGGGGTGTTGGTTGATTTTAAGCCTGTGAGCTGGTAGGCTTGTGCTGCTTCCCAGGAAGGCTGGATTGTTGATTTCTTGGTCCCCCAAGAGGATTCTCGGAGACATTGGCTTTTGTCTTCCTGGAGCGTGCTGCTTAGTGGCTCTTAGAACTGCTTTCATTGCATCTTATAAGTTCTGGTGTGTTGTATCAGCATTATCATTTAATAGTAGGTATTGTTTAATTTCTTCTTTAATTTCATCTGCGGCTGACTTGTTACTCAGTATGGTGTTTAATTACTGTTTCTTTTGCCATAGATTTCAAATTTTGTTACAGTATGGTCAGATAATATGCATGGGATAATTTCAATTCCTTTGCATTTACTTATGGATATTCTGTGGGCTAGTATGTGGTCTGTTTGGGAATGTTCCATGCACAGCTGAGAAGAATGTGTATTCTGATATTGTGGGATAGAACACTGTAGACATCTACTGAGTCCATTTGTTTGCAGGTTTGGTTAAGTTTTAATATTTCCTTGTTGAGTTTTTGTCACTGATCTCCTATTTGTGATAGTGAAGTGTTAAAGTCCCCCATTACAATTGTGTTAGTGCTTATTTGGTGCTCCTGTATTTGGTGCATGTATATTTATGATTGTTTTCTCTTCTTCTTGGAGTTTTCCCTTAACAAGAATATAGCGACCTTCTTTATCTCTTTTGTTATATCTTGGTTTAAATTTTACATTATCTGCAAATAGAATAGTTGCCCTTGTTTTTTTCTGGGTTTCTGTTATATGAAGTATTATTGTGGATTTCTTTTTGAGTTATGTGTGTTTCTTGATTCATTCTGCCAGACTGTTGTGTTTTTTTGAATGGTAAATTGAGACCATTTACATTGATGGTTATAACTCATATACACTGGCCTATCCTTGTCATATTACTTTCTTCTGCCTCAGCAAATTAATGGTCAATAGGAATGTCTCTCAAAATAAGAAATAAAATACTGGAATTGTAATTCAGTGCTAAGACTTGTTTAGTTCTCTTCACTGAAAAAGTATGCTATATATTTAGATAAAGAACATTGATATCAGTTGTCAAAGAACAAAAGTATATGAGACTCCATCCCATGAAGTTCAGAGAAATAAGTGAGACACAGAAAGTGAAATATATTTTTTCTGAAATGAGAAACTAAAAATATATTTAGGGGATAAAATAAAGGAGAGGTGTTAGAAAAGAGAAAGCCTAACATTTTGGATGTGTTAAAGTTGATAGGCATAATTAGAGAAGGGTTAGAGTGACAGGGAAAATATATGAAAGATGATCAATATGTGATACACACATGTGCCCATCCTGTGAAATGGAACTTCATAGTATGTATTGCAAACATATACCAATTTAAGATTCCCAAATGAAAACCATCCTTTCTAGAATGAGTTTTTGAAGGCTTTATCCAGGGTAGTAAGTCAGTTCATCATCAAAAGTTTTAAGCAGGCATCAAACCAGAACTTGTCCTGATAAATTACCAGTATGGAGACCTTATTGATTATAATTGATATTTTTGTTCTTTTTTCTTTACAGAAATGAATCAGACAATTATTTCAGATTTGAAGCAAAGCTGTACAAATGTAATAACCATGGAAAACCCTGTAATGATTTCCAGTCCTTTCAGAAGCATGAAACGGGAAAGACTGGACAGAAACCCTATCAATATGAGCTATGTGGGAAAGCCTTCTCTGATCTTAGTGAACGAACTCACCCTGGGGACAAAGCCTCCAGCATATGCAGTGGTGTTCAACCTGATGAAAGAAATCATAGTATGAGGGGTTCATATGTACACAAACCATGTGAGAAAACTTTTATTTCTTCATTCCAAGTTCATGTTCATGAAATCAGACATGCTGGAGAGAAGGAATGTGTAAAAACATTAGCTCATAGTAGGCTCTTTCACAAACATAACATAATTCACAGTGGGAAGAAACCCTATGTTTGTGAGCAGTGTGGGAAACATTTCATTCAAAAAAGTCACTTTCGAGTACATGAAAGAAGTCACACTGGGGAGAAACCCTATGTGTGTACACAATGTGGGAAAGGATTTGCTAATACATCCTCATTTCATAGACATAGAAGATCCCACACTGGAGAAAAACCCTTTGCATGTAAGCAGTGTGGGAAAGCATTCAGCCAGAAGAGTCACTGTCACCGTCACGAAAGAACTCACACCGGGGAGAAACCCTATGTATGTAAGCAATGTGGGAAATCTTTCAGCACACACAGTCAGTGTCAAAGTCATGAAAGAACTCACACGGGGGAGAAACCCTATGTGTGTAAGCAATGCGGGAAAGTATTCAGTGAAAAGAATAATTGTCAAAGACATGAAAGGATTCATAGTGGGAAGAAGCCCTATGTGTGTCAGCAATGTGGGAAAGCATTCACTACATACCGTGATTGTCAAATACATGAAAGAAGTCACACTGGGGAGAAACCTTATGTGTGCAAGCAGTGTGGGAAAGCTTTCAGTACCCAGAGGTATTATAAAATACACTACAGAATTCATACTGGGGAGAAACCCTATGTATGTAAGCAGTGTGGGAAATCTTTCAGCCAAAAGTGTAACTTTCGAGTACATAAAAGAATCCATACCGGGGAGAAACCCTACGAATGTCAGCAATGTGGGAAAGGATTTGTCGATAATTCTTTACTTCGTAGCCATAAAAGATCCCATACGGGGGAGAAACCCTATGAATGTAAACAGTGTGGAAAAGAATTTGCGCATAATTCCTCATTTTATAGACATAGAAGATACCACACGGGTGAGAAGCCCCATGTGTGTGAGCATTGTGGGAAATCTTTCAGCCAAAGCAGTCACTTTCAAGCACATGAAAGGACTCACACTGGAGAGAAGCCATGTATATGTAAGCAGTGTGGGAAATCTTTCAGCAGAAAGATTAATTGTCAGCTGCATGAAAGGATTCATGGCCGGAAGAAGGCATATGTGTGAAAGCAGTCCCTGCATGCTGTCATTGTTAAATACATGAAAGAAATCAAACAGGGGAGAAACTATTTGTGTAAGCAGTGTGAGAAAGATATGAACATGCCATTAAATATATGAAATTATGGGGCCGGGGGTTTAACTCAGTGGTGGCATGAGCACCTGCCTGGCAAGAGCGAGGTCATGAGTTCAATCCATGCTATGTATGTATGTGTGTGTATATATATGAAATTGTGCACACTGGGGAGAAACCTTACATATGTAGGCAGTGCAGGAAATGAGGTCACTGGGAATTTAAGAAATGTGGGCAAAAGGTTCAGCTGAGAGGGACCTCAACCCTCAACAAAGTCACATTATGGCCAAAGCCTATGTAAGCACCATGGGGAAGCACTTGGTATACATTGCTGTTGTTAAATATGTGAAAACAGAAAACCTACGTGTGTAAGAGTATTTTGAAAAATCCTTTAAAAAGTACTCGTATAGAGGAGACATTTATAAATAATATAAAATTACGATTTCAATATTCACAAAATTTCCAGAAATTTAGGGTATCTTCCAGACGAGATACCCTAAAGGGTATTCCTTCTGTGCTCTTCAGTAAGTCTCCTGCACATATCTGTGTATCTGTGGACTTCACTATTAAGACATCACACGTTTGTCAGGATGAGATGGTGCACTTCTGTAATCCCAGCATTGGGAGGTTGAGGCAAGAAGATTGCTGAAAGTACAAGGCAAGCCTGGGTTATGAAGTGAGTTTGAGGCTGGCCTGAACTGCATCACTAAATCCTGCCTCAGAAAAAAATAAAATTTAAAAATCATGCCTTTTTAAGGTCATTCCTGAATATTGGAGCTTCATTTTTCTACTCTTTTGATCCACAATGCCATCCTTCCTGATAATACCAGCTTTCTTCTTGACACTTGATTCCCACTCAGATCTGAGACTCCTGGTCAGTCTCATTAGAAGAAGCCACATGAATGCCTCCAGCAGCATGCTTCACCAGGTTTTTGTCTCCATCAGGGCCTGCTGATGATAAGACAAACAATCACAAAGCAATAACTTTTAAAAGATTTCAAGTATTTATTGGTACATAGTTGCAATATATACTGTAAATATTCATCTTTGGAAGCTGGTTTCTGTATATAATGCATCTAAATTTTTTATGCTTGCTCTTCTCATCCCCTTTCCAGCTTTTCTACCCATTTCTTGCTCTCTCAGTTTTTTTAAAATTTTATTTAAGGAAAAAAACAAAACAAAACAGCAAAAGGGTACAAGTAATACTGAATTTCAAAAAAAAATCACTGATTGATTACATATTGTCATCTTAGAAGTAGTTGTTTAAGTTACAAAATTAAAGCATACAAAGTGGACATTCAAACAGTGAGACTGCAAACAGTTGTATTACTCTCTCAAGTTTTGAAACATATTTCTCTACGTGCCCTGACATGTCACTTACCTTTCTCTGTAAGGCAAAAATTAAATAGAATAGCTCCATCATTATGTCCACCATCTGTAAAGCAGCACTGTGAGTAAGCAAGTGTGTCAGGATTTCACCACAGATCCTAGGGTTCTGAAGAGAATCCGTGGCATATGGTTCCCTGAAACAGGATCCTGAGTGATGGGAGTGATGCGATACTGACTCCAAAGATACAGAGCTGCCAGTGAGCAGTGAAGCAGGTGATCTTCAGCGTATGAAGTCAGTGCATGAGAACTAAAGCTTTGGATTTACCTAGGATGTTTTATGCAGGGATATACAAGTTGTAGTGCACAGCTATTTCCCCTATCCATCCAGTCTTTGGGGCATGGCGCCAGCTAAACAATCTTAGTCCCTCTTTATCTGCATGTTCAGATTCTGCCATTACAACAGAGTCAGATGATTTTAAATTAAAAGTTGCAGACATGAAAGTCAACAGAGTTTCAAGCATGTGCCATTCCCCATAGCATGATTAATGCCAAGTTCATTATTTATCAAAATTTATAAATCACACCCACGTGTAAACATGGTCTCAGTAGTGTGAGAAACTGAACAAAATGTGCAGTAGATACTGTGAATAGGGAAGAAACTTCAAAAGAAGAGAAACTGATGGATTGGAAAAAGGAAGGAAGGGATAGGGGAAATAGAATATGGATGTATAAACATATGACAGTTAAGAGTTATACAGCTAGTTTCTCTTGGTTGAGAAGAAAGGTCTGTGCTAATATTGTTTTGGATAAGACTTGGATTCAACGTTCTTAACTCATCAGTACTGTGATGTAGATCAGCCACACCTTCAAGATGAGGCAATTCTTGAACCTGTAAGAAAGGAGTTTGCTGTTGGTGCTTCCTTGCCTTCCAGAGAGCCTCCCTGGTAGACAACTGCCCGCTGGAGAGAACCCCAACAGAATGTATATTAACATGGAAAAGCTGCCGTTTGTGGAGGAAAACTGGAGATGCATGCAAAAGCATCAGCTTCTCTCCTTTCTGAGATTTTGACCCTATTTTCCTTGGGGCTTCTGGCATAGTGTTTTGGTTTGGGCATGCATTGATTTGCTGGAGTCCATGTATAGTACGTACACATAGTCTGCAAATCTCATTCTGGGATGCACTCATTTATGTACTTTCTGAGAGAAAGATGTGATGGATTTGGCACTTTTCAGTGAACCTAAGACTGACTCAGGATGAGTGTTCCTCTAGAAAATATTAGGGAGGAGGGTGCATTTTTATACTGGGAAAAGGGAATGGCAGGCTATGATAAGCTCCAGGGTTAATATTTTAAACTCTGCCTCATCACTATAGTCTGGTTCATTGCTGGGCTGCATTTCATCAATCAGGCAGGCCCTGTCCACTGAGAAGATGTTTAACTCTGAATTGGGTTTTCCAGTGGCCTTGGATGAAATAGTTGGTGTTTCTTCACTCTAGATTGCTATGTTGAATATTTCTGTAAAATAACAGCACTTTATGTATGTTGTGTATCATATTACCTTGTTTGCACTGTTTATTTTTACTGAAATGGGTCAGAGCCAGGCAGGGTACTGCATTCATGAGATCTTAGCCCTCGGGTGCTCATGCAAGAGGATTTCACAAGTTTATATTTTGAGTTCTCCTGGGAACGTTAGCAACACAGTGAGACCCAGTCTCAAAATAAAAAGTAAATATTGAGCTGGGGACATAGCTCAGTGTGAGTTCTCTAGATTCAGTTCCCAGTCCTGAAAAGGTAAAATCGGCCTGGTACCCGATGAGGCCATGAAACCATCTGCCTCATCCCACACATCCCACAGTGGGTGCCTGACCTGCACTCAGTGACCTTCCTTTGAGATCCAGAGGAGTTGGCACAGGACTTAGTCTGAAATCACTTGAGTATAGTTGTGACCCAATTCACAGGAGGAAGAAGCAGGAAACATCTGCTAGTACAATTAGAAAGCAGGTGTTTGTCCGGTAAGAGAAGACCAAGCTCAGTGTAAATGCAGTAATCTCCAGAAGGACCATTTCAGCAGGCCAGGTGTAGCCATGTAGGTGATCTGTCATTGGCTCTTCAGAATCAGATGTAGGATCACTACTTCTCCTTAGATCTGAGGATGAACCTTTAATTACCAGCTTTTGCAAGATGCAAGAAGACCAGAAGAACTGTGCATTTGAGAGCAGGAGCAGGCCAGCAGGGGAACCAACATGAATCTAATTTTGCTGCCATGCCTCTAACCCTGCGTTATCTGCTAGGCAAGGGTCCCAGAGTTTGAGGCTAGGGTTAAAATTTAAAGTTGCAGACATGAAAGTCGACAGAGTTTCAAGCATGTGCCATTCCCCATAGCATGATTAATGCTGGTTGCCTCTTCAGACTAGGAATTGTGTAGACACACAAAAAAACCCCCTTGAAGCTGGAAAGGTGAGGGTGGGGCAAGGTTCTCTGAGATGAGTACAAATGGACTGGACAGTATCTGCAGAATGGAGGGCCTCTGCATGAAGTCTGATGGCTGTGCCCTGTTCTCTGAACTGCTTTACCATTTGTCCCATGTAACCTGTGGCATGGGGCTTACTGGGCAGTGGGGACCATAGTAACTTGTCCTGTTCTTACTTCCATTTCAGCCTGCAAAACCATGTCTGTTCAGCCATTCTGCCTGTGTCTTTGTGCTCTCTGGTGACTTCATTAGCCATGTTCAGTCTACAGGCTCTTGTGTTGGGTTTGTGAATGGAAGAAGATATGGTTCCTGCTTTGCAGCCCTCCTTGTCTCAAGAGCAGCCCTGATTGTCCTGAAGTTCCTGAATGTTTGGGAAGCAAAGTGTCCAATTCATGACCTGTGTTAAGAACCTGGGGCTTCTGAAGACCAAGTCACCCCCACAGTGACACAAGTACATATGACTAGGTTTCTTGAGAATCTGCAGCCTGGTGCTGTCTTTCATATAACAGTTGTCCTTGGAGTGTTTGTTGATGTTGTTTCAGAAAAAAATCAGTGCTGACTAAGGTAGGACATGATTCTACTTGAAATGAATATTGAAATGGGGGAAGCATCAAATGTACATTCTCCCAAGTACCTCAAGAATTTGACCATAATCTTAGGGTGAAGATAAAGCTGGGGTCTTGAGGTGATTCAGGATGAGTGTGGCTCAAAGATTACAGAGTTGAAGGAGCAAGTGAAATTTAAGAAATCTTCATGAATGGCCATCACTCTAGTTAACCATGTTGAAGCCAAACAAAATTTGCAAAGTGAGATCTGGCCTCCTCTTGGTGAAGAAATTTTTGTGTTAGTTTCCTATTATTTTGATTTAAAATTCTACATAATCATTTTTAATTTTTTCATTTTAAAATTACAAATTAAAAAAATTAAAAATACCCAACCAAAAAAGAGAACTACAGCTCATCTCCTTAGTGAACATGGTTGTAAAAATCCTTACTAAGATACTGACAAAACAATGTAACAAATCACCCAGAAAACTATGCACCATGGTGCTCACTTTGGCAGCACACATTCAGAGGATTATACAACATGATGAAATAGGATTTATCTCAGGTAGTCAGGGATGGTTCAACAGACACAAATCAATAAGTATAATACATCACATTAACACAACCAAAGGAAGAAAGTCACATGAGAATCTTACTATATTGAGAAACAGCATTTGACAAAGTCCAGCATTCATGCATGATGATAAAAACCCTACAAAAAATTGGAACAGAAGGACTATCTCAATCTGATAAAAGCCCTCTATGACAAGCCAACAATCAGTGTCATACAAATGGTCAAAAATTGAAAGCTAAAATCAGGAACAAGACAAAGATGTTTTTCATCACCTATTCAATATAATTCTGGAAATATTACCTAGAGAAATTAGAAACAAATGAATAAATATAGGAAGGGAAGAAGTTAAATTGTCGTTTGAACAGCACATTCTTTTACTTATCTTTATCTTTACAGAGGACAGAACATCTTGTGGTTAATGACTAGCAGATGCATTCCTTCCTGTCCTGCTCTGATTACCTCAGGGGGGAGGTTAGGGAGTGAAACATTCTTTATTGCTCTGTTTTATGACTCGGGGGGGTTACAGCTGGGGAGTCGATTCTCTCAATACCATTAGCAAAACTCACAGGTCTAGAAAAACATTCTAGCCAGAGATTTAGCTCAGCAGCATAAGCATCTGCTTGGCAAACACAAAATCATGAGTTCCATCACCAGTACCAAAAAAATTTTTCTGGAAATTCATCTGGAACCAGAAGAGACCTAGAATAGCAAAGGCAATCCTGGGAAACAAAGGCAAGACAGGAGGCATCATAATCCCTGAGCTGAAGCTATACTAAAAAGCTGCTGTAATAAAATCAGCTTGGTACTGGGATAAAAACAGACCTGAGG